CTAGTCAGTGTCAAGTGTCTGGTTGGAGAACAGATTTGAACTCAGGTCCTCCTGACTCCAAGGCCTGTGCTCTATCCACTGTGCCACTTAGCTGCCCCTGTCTTTAATCTTTAACCTCCATAAAAAAACCTAAAACTACATCATCATTCTTTTTATTTATTTCTTTGTTTGTTTGTTTTTGCTCCATCATCATTCTGAAACCTCTATATAAGCCAAATATCAGGGCCTTTCATTAGCTTCTTGCTAATAGGGCCCGTGTTGCTTTTTCATGTAAAAAAAAAAAGGCTCCCATTGGCTATAGAGAATGTCTAAGTGAATTCCTTCACACCCGAACTGCTCTCCCAAATCTGACCTCAACATCAACATGTAATGGAGTTCATTATTCTTTTGAAAATGAATGAATAAATAATGGAGTTCCACATCCATGTTCATTTCTCTTGTAATAAGTCCAGCTGCAATGCATGCCTAATGGACTTGTCATTTTTTTTTTGGTTAATAATATATGGTTTAAAAATTTATCAGTTTTGATATCTAATATGGTAAGTATAGACGGATATAACCCACGTTAACAAAAGCTCTTTGGGGACCTCAATAATTTTTAAGAGTGTAAAGGAATCTTGAGACCAAAAAGTTTGAGAATCACTGCTCTAAGGACTAGCTGTCATTGACCAGTCCTTCCATTATTTTTCCTTCCTTCCTTTGTTCTTTCTCTCTCTCTGCTTCTCTCCCTCCCTCCCTCTTTTTCCCAAGAATAGCAGCACCCTATAGGTCACTGGCATTGCTTCCAGCCTTGCCCCTGCTCTCATTAATAGGGAAGTACATCTTATACAGAATCAACCCAACAACTTTGTCAGAATGTGCTTTTCCCCTAATACGAGTACATAATCATCCTGTATGAATTGTCTACTTCTGTTTTAAGGTGAAATCCTTGAAATCAGGGCCTGTCTTGATTTTCTAGCTCTAACCCCAGAAGGCTTGGCACACAGTAAATAATTAATACTCATTTATTCATTCACTTATTTGATCATCACAACAACCCTATGAGTCACATACTAGTGTACTTATTTTACAAATGAAGAGACTAGGGCTCTGAGAGCTGAAGTGACTTCCCTAAGGTGAACAAAACTAGTAATACCTAAGGCAATATTTGAACCTAAGTTTTAGTGATTCCAAGTTCAGCCCACTATCTACTCCCCACATTGCCACCACTACTTCTCACAGTGGAATGAGTATCCCATTATATTCTGGCTCAGGCAGACCACATTTAGAGTAACAGGTTTTGTTCTGGGTGCCATATATAAGAATGTTGACAAATTGGAATGTTTCCAGAGAAGAGTGACCAGGATGGTAGGAGACTAGAAAGTATGCCATATGAGTATTATATTTTGTGCTGAAACAAGAAAGGGATCCTTTCATACAGATCTGGTTATACCATTCTTTTACTCAAAACCATTTCAAGTTTTCCTATTGCCTACTGTGTAAGGTAGATATACCTTTTGCACAGGTGTTCACCACATCATCACTCCCCAAAATAAACCAGTACCTAGGGACTATAGGGATGAGACATAAATTCCTGGGAAAGGGTGCTAGGACACAAGAGGGAGGGAATCCTACATCGAAATGGAAGGCTACTTGATAAATCTGGGCTGAGTTGAATTATTGGAGTTCAGCTGGATTAATGGAGAAACTGCAAACTGATTCAGCAGCAAAGATGGGATAAGTTTCCTGGTGGGGTGAGGGAGGAGAAGGTGGAGAACAGACCTAGGGAGGTCAAGATGGGACCCAACATATTCTAATTTACAGAATGGTTATATGGTTATATGCATCAGGTTGATGGCACAGGTTTAGGGCTTCATATGAGGAAAGATGGAGAAGCAACGAATGGCACTTTTTAGGCAGCATAATAAGACCATATTTCTGAGGGTTGTGACAAAGGCTGATCCTTGAGTTCAGCAACAGATGGGGCAGAGAGTGACAGGAAATGTGAATTAGGGGGTTGTTTGTGGTATGCAGTTGGATACCATTCATAGCTGGAGCCAGGGAAAGGGGACTTGTTAATATTTAAATAAATCTATGAATGGGTGCAATTAATAGATTGTGCACACACATACATAACTTATTTTCAGATTAAGTTAATCTTAAAACCCTGGAATACATGCTTCTCTCCCTCAGCATTGGTAAATTCCCACTGGAATCTCCATTTTGAGGAAAAACCCAGGCCAGCCATTCCTCTTCTAGCTCCTTGAGAACAAAAGTGTCTTTCTTTTCGTTTGTGTTTGTACTTCTAGTGTTTAGCTCTATGCTTGGCACATAGTAAGCACTTAATAAATGCTTGTTGACTTTGATCTTGGTTTAAGATGGAAATCAGGTGGCGAAGTGGATAGAATGTCGGCCCTGGAGTCAGGAAGACCTGAGTTCAAATTTGACCTCAGACACTTGACACTTACTAGCTGTGCAACCCTGGGCAAGTCACTTAACCACATTGCTAATAAAAGCAAAAAAAAAGATGGAAATCAGACCTTCTACTGGGTAGTGGTGGGGAGAGTGTAGAAATACTTTGAAAAGTAAGCAGGATAGAGTGTTGCCACTGTTATGGACACAGTTTCTAACCTCTAGCCTCCCTTTTACTCCTCCTCCCTGCCTCTTCCCCTCAGACCCTAGGTTTTTGGTTTTTTGTTTTTGCTTTTTTTGGTGAGGTGATTGGGCTTTTAAGTGACTTGCCCAGAGTCACACAGCTAGTAAGTGCTAAGTGTCTGAGATTGGATTTGAACTCAGGTCTTCCTGACTCCAACGCCAGAGCTCTATTCACTGAGCCACCTAGCTGCCCTTTCAGACCCTGTTTTTGATCCTGACTCAGCTCTCAGATTGGAGGCTGTAGTTCCTGGGAAGAAGTAGGTCTTTTCATTTAGGACAAGGCTGTGGAAGAGATCCATAGTGCATAAGAAAGTTAGCAAGATACGTTCAGCCAGCTGGAGACTGCAGACCCTCCTTGCCAATTATTTCTCAGTGGGTTCCTTGGCCTCCCCTGGGGCCACCGCCTGGGGGCGCCCACAGCAGGCATCTGGGACTGCTGCTCTCCCTGCTGTTGTTATTAGCATAATTAATAAACAAGCACTGATGGGGCCAAGTAGGGGAAGTAACAGCAGGCCTCGGTTGCTCACAAAGAGATTCCCTAAAAGAGATGGGAGCAGGGAGGGCTGACTGGGATGCCTGGAGGGACAGGGGCTTGATTGATTTTTTGAAGAGAGAAACCTGGGAGGGTGAGGTATAGGCTGGAGGAAAGTTTTATAGGCAGAGAGAAGGACAGAGGAAGAGAATAAAGAGGAAATAGCCTGAGTTTGAGGAGCTAGCTTCGCATCTGTGTAACAGGATGTTTGTGGGCATAGCCACCCCCATGATTCCTGGTGGTAGGGCAAGCCAAAGTCATGAAGAAATTCATTCACTCATTCATTTTTTCAATTAGTAAATACTCTATCTATTGAGTGCCTACTATGGACAAAGCATTGTATTAGATGCTATTTACCATCAATTTTTCATTCCATGTTGTCCAGGAAATGCAATGAGGATGGGAACAGGGATCAGAAGGGCAACTGGGAAGACTGGCAACAGAAAAAGGGCATTTCAACTTCAGTCACGGACACAAGATTACTACAATAATTGGTACTTTGAGTTTTGCAAAATACTTTATGTACCTTATCTAATTTGAGCTTCATAGCAATACTGTGAGGTTGCTGTTATTATAACTCTCATTTTACAGGGGAGGAAAATGAGGCTCAGAGAGGTTAAATGACTTGCCCAGGATCACCCAGCTCCTAAGCATACAAAAGAGGATTTGAACCTAAGTTTTCCTAACTTCAAGTTCAGCATTATGTCAAACTCAGGGATTGCAGAGGGCCTTGCTTGAGAAATCCAGGACTGTAGGATGCTAGGGTAAAATAATTGGACAGAAAGAAAAAAGAATGTTTTAGGACAGGAAAATTTTGCTGTACATTATTAAAGGGACTCAGGGGCAAAAATTGAGCTGTGTTAGCTGTTGGGCTGAAACAGGGTTCATGATGGAGACTTTAGAAGATAATCAAAGATGCTAGGATCTAGGTTGTTTCAATTCAATTCAACAAGCAAATGCTATTTGTATATATTATGTATAAGGCACTACTGGGCTAGGTACGTGGGATGCGTATAAAAAGGGGAAAAGCAATGCCTGCCCTTAAGGAGCTAACATCCTACGGGAAAGGTAGAGGATTTAAGTAAATATAAAATAATTTGAGGAGGCACTGAAATCAGTTGCCCGTGACCCGTGCATCTCACGGCTCAACTAGTGTTATCTGGGAACTGTGGTATGCCTAGAAAGGTCTAGTAGGACCAGAGCGTGGGTAGGGGAAAAAGGGGGGACGGGGACTGTAGGTTAGTTCTGGAGTGGGAGGGGGGGTAAGGTGAAGCTTTGGGGAAAGAATCCTAAAGTGTTGTTTGTGAGAATATGTTGGAATGTCAGGGGAAATGGGGGACTACGGGCCAGGACATAAGGGAATACCAGCTGCAGTTATTGCGAGTACCGATGAGGTACTGGAGCCAGCCAGGGGTATCTGGGTGTTGGGGTGAGGTTTTCAGGAACGTCCCGCCGGACTGGCTCGCGAGAGGACTGGCGGGGGGTGGAGGGGAGGTGATTGGCCAGAATGGGGGTGGGGGGGTGTGAAGTGAGCCGCTCAGAGGCTCCGCGGGGGGGCGGTAGGAGCTCGGGGCTGCAGCCGGCCCGGGCCGGGCTGGGCCGGGCCCGGGGAGGAGGCGGCGGCTCCGGGAGAAGACCATGAATCAGCGGCGACGGAGGCAGCGGTGGCAGCGGCAGCAGCAGCAGCGGCGGCGGCGGCAGCGACAGCGGCGACCGCGAGCTGGCGCTGGGAGCTCGGCGGTGGGAGCAGCTCCGAGTGCGCGCGGGTCTCCCCTAGCCCCGGGCAGCCGCGGGCTCGCAGGTTCCCGCCCCCTCGGTCCCCCCGCCCCTCGCCCCCGCCCCCTCCATCGCGGGCCGGGCCGGGCCGGGCGGGCATGGTGTGGCGGCGCCGCGGATGGCGCTGAGGCGGAGCATGGAGTGGCCGCGGCTCCGGCTCCGGCTCCGGCTCCGGCTCCGGCTCCCGCAGCTGTTGCTGGCGGGACTGGCCGCGCTCCTGTTCCCGGAGCTCCCAGCCGCAGGTAGGAGCTGGGGTCTGGGGGTGGGGGCAGCCGGGGCAGCAAAGCCGGGGACCCAGGAGGGGCTGGAGTCGGAGCAAAAGTGGGCGGGCGAGGGTCCGGCTCCCCGAGCCCGGCACTGGGTAGCCTAGGCCTGCGGGGCCGGACGTGGGGCGGCTGGAGGGGCCGAGGCGGGGGTCTCGGGGGCCATGGTGGCAGCGGAAGGCCGAGCGAGCGCTGGGGAGGGGGAGGGCGGCAGCCATGGGCATCTGGACGCCTGTGTCCCCACCCCCAACTTTCTCCGCTGGGTTGGACAGAGTAGCAGTAGGGGAATCAATCGGTCAGGGGTCTGCAGGCGGGGGACTGGGCTCTTGATTTTCCCGCCTCCTTCTCCAGGGGAACAGTTTCTTTCTTTCCTCGAGAGTCCTAGGGACCCTCACCCTCTCACAGCCTTCTTAGCCGCAGCTACCTAGTACCAAAGGGGGTACCCCCACCCCCACTCCGGACATATCTCAGGTATGTAGGATTTACAGTTGGTGGGAAACGTGATAGCCTGGTGGCCAGCCCCATGCACGAACACAACACACATTTGATCACAAGGAAACATTTGGGCACACCCTTGATAAAAACCACACTACAGTGTGGGCGAAGATACCTGGGAGAATTTTAGAGGCTTTGGACTGAGTGGTTTATCAGGTATGGGGCTAAGCCCAAAGCCTCTGCCAGTACTAGCACCAATTTAGGAGCCTCATTCTCAGATTTGCTCGAGTCACAGGGCAAGTCTGGAAGAGGGACTCTGGTTCTCAGTTCTCAAACTCTCAGACCACACCCCCCTGCACCGCGCTTGAGGGCTGTAATGGGGGTGCATTCTGTTATTTGGGGTGATGAGAACCTAGCCTCCGTGGACATCAGGGACTGCCTGAGTAGTGAGTAATTGTACTTTGCATCCCACCTTCCAGCTTTCTGGTGAAGAGAGACAGCAGAAGTGTCTTTCAGCCTTCCAGCAGAGTACCTTATACCCAGAGAGAGAGAGAGAGAGAGAGAGAGAGAGAGAGAGAGAGAGAGAGAGAGAGAGAAAGAGAGTGTGTGTGTGTGTGTGTGTGTGTGTGTGTGTGTGTGTGTGTGTGAGGGTCACACAGCAAAGGAGAAGAGAAAAAATTAGAAATAGAACTCCAAAATGTGGGGTTGGAAGAGAGGATTTGTCTTTTGAGCAGTGGAATTCTAGCACTTGAGGTTTGGGGCACTAGAGAATTGTCTGTGGAAATACAGTGTGGTGTATTGAAAAGAGCTCTGCATGTGTAGTTAGGAAGTATGTGTTCATACTAAACCAGCTGTGAAGAGATCATAGGTAGGTCACTTAATTCTGAGCCTCAGTTTCTTCATCTACAAAATGGGGATGATAGTACCTGCCTTATGAGTTGTTTTTGTTAGGATCAAATGAGATGTTTGTAAAGAGCTTTACAAACCAGGCTTTATATGTGTTGGGTTATTATTACATTTCAGCTGAGGAGAAAGGGTTTAGAGGTCAGGGATTGACCTATAATCCCAGTAGGGTTGCCTGCCCATTCTACTAAACTCACTCTTCCCTACTTCACAGGCCTTTCACACCCACTGCCTTCATACGTCCAGGTATTAATAGAATAGATGGATGCCATGTGTGTGATCTGACATGTTTCTGCAAACATGGTTATCTGCTTCTAGGAAACACTCTCCTCATCTTTTTTTCTTTCTTTTATTTGGCAAGGTGGGGTGGAGAGAGCTCTCTAACTGAGTGGGGAGTGAGTCCCTCACATAGGATTACAGAATTAAGGAGACTCAGGGATGGAACATCTTCTAAGCAGTTACCCTAGTCATTCTCAGGGCAGCTTCCAGCCACAATCTCGGTGAGAATTTCTCACCACCTTCCAGTTCTGCTACAACAATCTGGAACCTGAGTGGTGATATGCTGTTCACCATACCCACTACCTCCCCAGTTAGGAGTTGGGAGGGAAGGGGAGATGCTTAGACATCATTCTGACATGAGCCTGTCTCACCTTTCCTCCTAGGCAAGCATGGCTAGAGGCAGAAAGATGAGAATCAGCATTGCTTAGCAGATAGGACTGGTAGAGAAGGTGTTTCCAGGGAGCTGGTAGTGGGAGAAACTGCACCCAGAGAATTTGTCTTCCATCCTTTCTTCTGATGACTGGATCTATGCCACCTCCCCTCCCACATCTTTATGCCAGTTGTCCATTCTTGTCAGTGTCCGTGAGGATATGGATCCTAAGTGGTGGAACTTGGGTCCTAGAAACTGGCCTGAAATAGTCCCAGAAATGGGACCAGGGTATAGGGAGCACAGCAGTGGGCTCTGTCCCTTTCACCCTTACCCATCTGAGTTCTGCTTCCCCTTCTCTCAGGCCTGAAGCTCATTGGGGCCCCTCTGAAGCTGACAGTATCTCAGGGGCAACCAGTGAAGTTGAACTGCAGTGTGGAGGGATTAGAGGACCCTGAGATCCAGTGGGTCAAGGATGGAGCTTTGGTGCAGAGTGTGGACCAAGTCTACATTCCTATCAGTGAGCAGCACTGGATTGGTTTCCTCAGGTACAGGAGAGAAAGGGGACTGAGGGCGTCAAAGAATGCTTCTTAAAGATGACATTATTTGAGTTGGGATTTAAGGGATGGGTAAGAGTAAATAGAGAAAGTTGGTCTTTTGAGATGCAGACTTTTGTGATGATTTCTTTTTGTTATAGTCTTGGGGACCAGTTCATTCCATGAAATCCCAGGGTTTTATTAGGCTTCTTTTGGGGACTTTGAGAGAAGGGACTTAAGCATCCCTTAGGATCTGGCTAGCAGAGCTGCCCTCTCCCTCTCCTACAGTGGTAAACTGAATTCCTTGTCCTCACTGCAGCCTGAAGTCAGTAGATCGATCTGATGCGGGGCGGTATTGGTGCCAAGTGGAAGATGGAGGAGAAACAGAGACATCCCAGCCAGTGTGGCTTACAGTAGAAGGTGAGGATGGGGTAGATGGAATAGCCTGGACACTCTGGCAAGAAGGGCATGACCCATGTCTGCTGGTGCCCAGAAAGCCCCTGAAAGCAAATGGGGAGGCTGCATTCTCTTCCTGCTTAGCTCGGGGATAAGCTATGTCACCCTGGTACCCCTGGCAACACATGGCCTCAGAGGGAAACAAGGTCCCTGACTTCCCAGGTCAGCATCAAGCATAGGTAGATCCCCCCAAAGCTTAGAGTGTGTTGTTCAAGCAAAGCTTTAGGGAGCATCAGGGGACCCTGTGATATGCCATGGATGAAGGCTCTCTCTGTACTTTGGGCAGCAGGCCTAATGCACCCTGTCCCTGGCTGGACGCTACCCTGACAAGCTTGTCTGGGACCAGGGGCAGAGTAGAGGAGCAGGGGGGAGGGGGAGGAGGAAGATTTGCAGCTGCACGAGCTCAGTTCTGCTCAGCTGAAGAAAACAAAGTGACTAAGAAGTAACAAAGGGCTTGGAACTGTAGCTGGGGCTAGGGCTGGGGCCTTCCAGCACAACCAGGCAGCAGCTCCCCCACCTCCCCGCCCCTGCAAGCCCTCCTTCCTTCTCCCTTATTCTTCTAGAAACTTTGATATAGCAATGCTCCAGAGAGGGCGTGATGTTTGTCAAGGATGCCTTCTGTGCATGGGGAGGGGAGGAAAGGAGGAATGCATGGGGGGCGCACATCTACCATGGGACCCACAGCTTTGGGGAGGAGGGCCTTCCTCCATAGCCCTGGGAACAGCAGCATCCCCTTTCCTTTGGAGATTTGTTTATATCATATTTAACCAAAAAGTTCTTGGGGAGCCTTCTGTTTTGGGGATCCCTTTATATTTATGATACAAGTGTTAGTATGTTTATGGAGGTGGCAAAAATCAGCTTCTGCCCACTCCCGTTTCTGCCTAGGTGTGCCTTATTTCACTGTGGAGCCAGAGGATCTCACAGTGCCCCCTAATGCTCCTTTCCAACTGTCTTGTGAAGCGGTGGGGCCCCCCGAACCTGTGACCATCTTCTGGTGGAGGGGGGGCACGAGGGTTGGAGGACCAGCCCTTTCTCCCTCCATTTTGAATGTTACAGGTGAGCTCACTCTCTGGAAGGGAGGAGAGAGGGCCAGACTTCTCTGGGAGTAAGCCTGCCCCTGACTGTGACTTGGGAGGTTGACAGGAGAGGGGTAGTTGGCAGAGAAGCCCTCCTTCTAAATTGTGTCTCTGAGTTTCTCCTGGATAAGTGGTCCCAAGCTTCCTGACCCTTGTGTCTTTTCTTGCTGTGCGAGCTTTGGTTGCAGAAACGTTGATTCATGAAGTGTGTTTTTCTGGGCAGAATGCACCTATTTGTGGTAGCTCACACTGTGCAAGCAGAGGTAGGGCCCCTTGTTGACAATGGGGACAAAGCAGGCACAATCATCCCTGAGAAGAGGAATAGGGGGACTTGTTGCAGCCCCACCCCCCAAGGAAGGAATCAGGAGTCAGCCCATGTTCGAGTAGGAGGAAAGTCTGGCAGAAGGGGAGAAGCCATACGGTAGCTTTTTTACCCTGATCAGTTTCTTCATCTGATCAATCCCTTTTCCCCTAAAAAGCCCTATTCCCATATAAAGACATGGTAGTAGATAGAGTGCTGGACCGGACTTGGGTTTGAACCCTGCCTCAGATAGTTTACTGGCTGTGTAACCTTAGGCAAGTCACTTAAACCTGTCTATTCCTCAGTTTCCTCATCAACAAAATGGTCAATTTTGAGGCTTCTAGGAGACAATGTATATTTTTTACATCGTAAACTCTTAATGTGCTGTTTAAATATGAGCTGTTATTATTATTGTACCCTGATGCATCTGCATACACATAACTGCATTTGTGAAACACCTTTTCGTGAACAAGATTTACATTTTCTCATTGAATTTTGAGTGGGGGATGGGAGGAAGAGGATGGAGACCAACCTCAGAGTGAGTTTGGCAGGAAGTGGGAACAGGTTTTACCTGGGTCAAATTTCACAAGTCTCCAAACTGCTGAGGGTCTTGAGAAGAAAGCAAGAAGTGGGAGGGCTGCGGGTCCTAGTGGATGGGAGTTGAGGAGAAGAGACCATTGTCAGCCATGGGTAATGCTGGGCTGACAGGTGGGAAGTGCCTGGCTTTCCAAGATGAGACCAGTGATGGAGGTAAGGAGTAGGGCCACAAGTATTGGCATAGATGGTCATTAAGGGAGGAAATCCAGGCTCTCCTCAGGTTTTCTTTGATTAGAAGCTGAAAGAGAAGCCTTCAGTCTAGAAGCATGCATTGCATAGTTGTTCCTAATACCTGCAGATCATATTAGGCACCATCGTGGGATACAAAAGACCTTGAAGACATAGTCCCTTCACCCAAGGAGTTTGCTGTCTTTTTGGGGACACATAATAAAGAGATTCAGAGTACAATCGCTAAGCCTAGAATATGGGAAGATAGATTAAATACTGAAGACCGGGTGGGATTGACAGTGAGGAGGAAATTTAGCATCTCTTTCCTGTAGATTGAAGGACTTCTGGGGCCATTCTTACTCCTTGTCATTTGACCCTCAGGATTTGAATTATCCCCTCCCCTCATCTTCTCACCAATTCTGTAAACTCACACATCACCTATTCCGAGGCTCAGTGGTCACCTTTAGGCTGACCAGGGTTTTCTGTGTGGCTCCCAGGGGTGACCCAGAGCACTGTGTTCTCCTGTGAAGCCCATAACCTGAAAGGTTTGGCCTCTTCCCGCCCAGCCACAGTCTATCTTCAAGGTAAGAAACTCGTGTGTGTGTGTGTGTGTGTGTGTGTGTGTGTGTGTGTGGTGTGTGTGTGTGTGTGTGTGTGTGTACAGGGGTGGGGGTGGGAGCTCCTAGCCAATCTGTCTGCAGAGAAGGAGGGGAATGGGGTGGAGTGAAAGATTATAATTGCATAGAAGAAGCTTTACCTCTTGGCCTCAAGCTCTTCTCACTCCTGAGAGCCTTCTTGGCTGAGGCCTCTGGGAGGAGGGGCTACTACTTGGCATATGTCCCCAGCCCCTGTAGTGGGAGCACCTGAGGCACAGCCATAGCTGAGATGAGAATAGAAACCTGACGTCACAGAGCAGATTCCCCATCACGAAGCTGCTTCCCTGGGAGAGAGGAACAGCTGGAGCTGGTCAGGACTCAGGCTTGGCCTCTGCCTCTTTCATCCCTTTCAGAGGGAAGAATGGTGGTAGTGGAGGCTGCTCAGGTTGGTGATCAGTGGGGTGTTGTTGGATTTGACTTTGCCTCTAAAAGGAGGGATATGAAAAATGGGCTCTTTGAGAGAGAGAGAGAGAGAAAGAGAGAGAGTGTGTGTATGTGTGTGTATGTGTGTTTGAAAGAGATACCTATACATGGCAAAGCCAGACTGCTGCTGGAACAGATGTGTCATTTACATTTGTAGAGTCTGAGCTTCTCCCTTCCCTGCCCCCACATCACTGGCCTTGGTCGGGCAGGCTTCTGGTTGCAGAAACTACATCACAGAGATGGCCTCATGCTCTATTCCAGGCTCTGTTCCAGGCATGGCAGCTATTCTGTATTTCCTGCTATGACAGAGAGACACAGAGAGAGACCTGTACTCATATGGGCTCCTTCTGAGCTCTAGCAGAGCCCCCAATGTGTTAGGTGCTAAATAACTCATGCATTGGTTGAAATGCTCATCAGTTGTGGGAAGGGGAAGGAAGATTCCTTAAGATTTAACTAAAGGAAGCATTAGCTTGAGGCTTAAAACCTTGGTTATTTTTCCTTCTTGTCTCCTAACCCTCCTGCCCCATGTTCTCTTTTTTAAGCTCCCTGACTTTGTGGCTTCCAGTCTCTTCTTTCTTGGAGGGAGGGAGGGATGGGAAAAGAGAGAGCCCTCTAGAGCAGTCACTATGATTAGAGGCATATGCTTATGGGGGTTTGAGGAGCCCTTTCAGTCTTAAGATATTCCAATGAGGGGGGCGCAGCTCACAAGGAGTCTAAGGAAGCATCTGGGGACTATAACCCACAGTAAAAGGATGAGAGGCAAAGAAGTTAAGAGACATTAAAAAAAAATAATAAACCTCTCAGACCACCACAGGTTGACTCCAGATCTCCCTCCCTCTCTTGCAGCACTTCCAGCAGCACCCTCCAATGTAACAGTGACCCGGCTATCTAGCAACAATGCCAGTGTGGCCTGGATTCCTGGCTCTGACGGCCGAGCTCTGCTCCACTCCTGCACAGTCCAGGTATAGTTCTGGGAGGGCCTTGTCTGGGGAAAGCTGAAGGTGGAGATTACAGGACTGCCCTGTTCCATCTGTCAGACTAGCACCTGGTCGATGATGAGTCATGGTCTTGTGACCAGTCCTCTCTAGGCTGGAGTTCCATATCATAGCAGGACCCAGATAGGTGGCCAGGGTACATTCTCTCGTCAGAGTTTGCTTTGTGTATTCACAGGGGCTCCAGCAGAGCTCCCTGTGCTGGGGAAGGGAGGGAAGATCCCTCAAGGAAACGGCTCAGGCCTTAAACCTTGCCTGTTTCTCCTTGTCTCCTACTCCTCTTGAGCTCCCTGACTCTGTGGCTTCCAAACCCTTCTGTCTCCAATTTCTGTGCAGGTAACGGAGGCCCCAGGAGGCTGGGAGGTCCTGGCCGTCGTGGTTCCAGTGCCACCTTTCAGTTGTCTGCTTCGGGGCCTAGAACCTGCCACCAACTACAGCCTACGGGTTCGATGCACCAATGCCTTGGGGCCTTCCCCATATGCAGACTGGGTACCCTTCCAGACCCAGGGTCTGGGTAAGAGGACTTGAAGTGGCACGGGCTTGAGACAGCCAGCATCTCAATTGTGGAAGTCTGTCCAGAGAGAGGAGTGTGACCTTGGGCAAGTCACAACTCCTACACTTTATTTGCCTCATCTATAAAATTGAGGGTTTGGACTGAAGTCCCTATCAGCTCAAAAATTCCAGTGAAAGGATGATGACATACCTTGGTGACCTATATTGTCTTTCTTTTACCCCGTCTTCCCAAAGAGTGTATAGGCTATCAGGATACAGTTTCCCTGTCTTCCTTCAGAGCAGAGTGTAGCTAGAACCTAGAATACTGGGAATTGAGACCAGGGAATATGGGCAAAGATTAGGCCAGAAGATCAGACCCTCACCCTCTCCACTTTCACCACCTCCATCCTCACTCCAGACAGTAGGCACTCAATGCTATTTGTTTTCTGGAAACTCAGTAGGTAGGATCTTCATAAGGAAAGGGGTAGGGAGGCTGTGGTGGAGATATAAGGTCTGAGTGATGCCTTGATTATTTCTCTTTTGTGTCCAGCCCCATCCAGTGCCCCTCAGAACCTCCATGCCATCCGAACAGACTATGGTCTGATCTTGGAGTGGGAAGAAGTCATTCCTGAGGGCTCTAGTGAGGGCCCTCTGGGGCCCTATAGAGTATCCTGGGTTCAAGAAAATGGGACTCAGGTAAGGGTTGAAGAACCCCTAAACCACTCTCTTCCTGGTCTCCTTGGCTCTCCCTCTCCCCCTGTGCCAGGAACTGGCCAAAAAGATGGGCTCCCTATTTCCAAGTCCATTTGGGACTAAGTGCTGCTTTGACCGTGACCCTCTACCCTCAGCCCAGAAGGGGATCTTCTCAGAAATCACCAGGTCGTTTCTCAAGCTTGCACCTCCCTAGGATTCTACCACTGTTGCCACTTTGTATACAAAGCAGGCCGCACATTCCTGCATGGACTGGGGGAGGATACAGACAGTGCTATGCCTCCCTCCCCCAGTCCTTGGTTCCTTTGTCCCCATCCCCCACCTTTACAACTGAGATGAAATGTTTGTGTTGGTGGAAAGGCTACCCAAACCCTTGAAGTCAGGAATGTGACTGACTCCCTGTAAGTTGTGAGATTGACCCACCCTAACTCTCAGCCTCTAGCTCAGCCATCATTCTGCTTGCCTTAGCTCTGTGGTTACTTCCTCAAGTTCTGTTTTGGGGTGGGGTCTTTTCCGGGCTGCAGGGTGAGCTGACTGTTGTAGGGACTAGAGCCAACCTGACCGGCTGGGATCCCCTGAAGGACTTGACAGCCAGAGTGTGTGTCTCCAATGAAATTGGCTGTGGTCCTTGGAGCCAGCCTCTGCTTGTCTCCTATCGGGACCATGCTGGTGAGACAGAAAGGGGAGCAGGGGATCTGTCTGATTGAACTACTTGGTTTCCTGTGGGAGGGTTTGGTAGGAGCCTGGTTCCCATTTTCTTCTGTATGTGGCAGGCTCAGAGACTTAGATCCAAGCAAACAAGGTCAGGGCCAGAGATTAATGAGCCATGGGAGATCACTTTGGAAGTTTCCTATGCTCCTTTAAACCTGGGTTTCTTAACCTGAAGTCAGTTTTGTCATAACTGTATTTCAATATAATTGGTTTATTTTGTAATTCTACATATTTAGTACATTAAAAACATTACTATGAAAATGAGTCCATAGGTTTTAGGACTGCCAAAGGGTTCCAGGACAACAAAACAGTTAAGAGCCTGTGTTTTAAACTTTGTCTTCTGGGGTCTTTTTTCCTTATTTGGCACCTTCTTATTCTGATTTTTGAAGATAAGCCTGAGCAAGTCAGATAACTTCCCTGGGAGTGTTCTGAGAGGCTTCTCTACTGGCCATCTGTATTAGGCACCCTTCCGCTTTTTCCTCTAGGCCAGCAGGGTCCCCCTCACAGTCGCACATCTTGGGTACCTGTGGTCTTGGGCATTCTGACAGCACTTGTGACAGCTGCTGCCCTGGCCTTAATCCTGTTACGCAAGAGAAGGAAGGAAACACGGTTTGGGTAGGTATGGGTCTGGAGTGGTGTCTGGAGACATGGAATTGCTCCCCCCCCCAATAAGTAAAAGTACTCAGTAGTCTGAACCCCAGTTCCCTCCCTCTCTCCCATTTGACCCCTTCCTTACATCCTGTATCCTACCAGGCAAGCATTTGACAGTGTCATGGCCCGTGGGGAGCCCGCCGTTCATTTCCGTGCTGCTAGATCCTTTAATAGGGAAGGCCCAGAACGAATTGAGGCCACACGTGAGTCACCTGTCAGTGGGGTTCCACGAGGGCTTCCTTGCTAGACTCTTGTGTTGTTTCTCGTGAACTCCTGTACCTCATTTGACTTTGGGATGAGTCAGTCACTGTGCTTGGGGTGGGGGAGTTATACAGGAGTATGGGGTGGGGTCCTAGTCACTACTCAACTTCCCAGGGGGTTTTAACTGCCTTTTCCTCCTTTCCAGTGGATAGCCTGGGTATCAGCGATGAACTGAAAGATAAACTGGAGGATGTGCTGATCCCGGAGCAGCGATTCACCTTGGGCCGGATGTTGGGCAAAGGTCAGGTAGCCGACTGTCTTCAGGGAGGGTGAAACCTTTTACCGAAGGGAGATGGCAGTGTGTCTGAGCATTACATGCCTGGGATTTGGAGGATTGCTACAGTTGGGATTGCCTGGGACAGGACAAAGAAGGGTGCTGTCATGGGTCATGGGGACTTGGCAGGAAAAACCCTAAATTTTAGGAGACTTAGTGATGGCTAGGGAGGATGACGTGGAGTCTGTGCTGACTTGGGTGATTGGGCTACCCATTTCTACTTGTAGCAAGTTGTAGGATTCTATGACCCTTTGATACTAAGTTAGCTTCCATAGTCTGTGACACTCAGATGACTCCTGGAGCCCTGCCACACGCCTTAGGGAACTCTCTAGCAGGAGACAGGAGAGTCGAACTGGCTGGTAAGCTCAGCTGCCTGTCATAGGGGAAGAGCTTGGGAGCAGAAGCTAGAATCATCTCACACTTACCTGGCTTCATCCCTAGGGGAGTTTGGCTCAGTGAGGGAAGCCCAGCTGAAGCAGGACGATGGCTCCTTTGAGAAAGTAGCAGTGAAAATGCTGAAAGGTGAGTGGGGTACAATGCTGAAGGATTTGGCTTCCAGCCTTGGGAGGGAGTGGTAGAGGCAGCTGTAGAGCCCCGAGCCAAGCCCATCTCTGTGAACAAGGCAGGAGCCCCTTTGGCAGCTCTGGAACACTGGAGGGCAAGCTCAGGAAGTTAGCATTGGCTCTAAGGTCCTCTTCTGCACGCACATTCCTGAATATCACTTCTTCCTTGTGTCTGACTCTTCTACTACCTGTGATTCTGGCAACTACTCAGCTCCCTAGTCCTGGCCTGAACACCTCCAGCAAAGCCGTGTCCTGTAGTGGACCAGGACCCCTGGGGAGACTCAGTGGGTGGATGACTTAAAGGGAGGGGCCTGCCCCATTTGGGAGGCGCTTCTCACCTCTTGTTTCCCTTTCCTTTTCCTAGCGGACATCATCAACTCCAGTGACATTGAAGAGTTCCTCCGAGAGGCTGCTTGCATGAAAGAATTTGACCACCCACACGTGGCCAAACTTGTTGGTGAGATGGTCTCTAATGGAGTCTGGTACAGAGGAGAGGATAACCAAGGAGAAGGCAGAGAGAAGAGCACTAGTAAAAAAGGCTACAGAGAGGAGAGAATGTTAGCCATACCAAGTGGATGACCAGGAATGAGACTGGGGAGTAGAGCACCCTAGTTGAAGAATCTGCTTAGAAGTGTTCTCTGGCTTCAGAGAGTACAAAGAACACTCATTGTAGAATCAGAGGACCTGGGTTCAAATCCCACCTCTGCCACTATCTGTATGACCTTGAGCAAAGTTAGTAAGTAAAGACATGAAACCCTTCTGATTTCTTCATCTGTAAGATGAGGGAGTTCGACTGGATGGCCTCTAATAGTCCTACTATCTTGAAATCTGTGATCCTAAAAGCAGCCCCCAGAATCTACACAAAGAAAGTCAATTTTTTTTTTAAGGCAGTTGGGGTTAAGTGACTTGCCCAGAGTCACACAGTTAGTAAGTGTCAAGTGTTTGGTCTGAGGCCAGATTTGAACTCAGGTCCTCCTGACTCCAGGGCCAGTGCTCTTCGCCATCTAGCTGCCCCAAAGAAAGTCAAATTTTCCATGAGGGATAGTGGTACCATGTATAGGGGGAGGTCATTATAAGGAACCCTGAGGTCTGGTTTTTTGGTTCCTTCTCCTGGGATAGTACCAGGGAATTAGGTAGTTACCAAGAAGGGCCTAGACATTGATTGATTAAAGGACCTTTGAACTGCCAAAAAGGGAGTCTTCCAGGTGACTGATACCCCTCATTCACTGGGGCAAATTAACCATAAATTAGAGAAGTCTGAGAGAATGCTGTATCCTGAGACCAGGAAAGGATAGGAAACTTATTATGCGACAGGAAAGTGATTAGGGACACAGCATACTCCCGGTTTCTGGCCTAATCACACAAACCCTTTGGTCAGAGTTTTCCTTTTTTTTCTGAAAAACTAACCCCTTACCTTTCTCCACCTTTCTTTTCACCCCCAGGGGTGAGCCTTCGAAGCCGTGCCAAGGGCCGCTTGCCTATCCCCATGGTGATTCTGCCCTTCATGAAGCATGGGGACCTACATGCTTTCCTGCTTGCCTCCCGAATAGGAGAAAACCCTTTTGTGAGTGTTTGCGCCGGAGGCATGTGTGTGTAGGCTGGAGGAACATGGGAGAAAGAGCATTTGGGAGAGGAAGGACTTGGTAGACAAGACTGGGAGGGATGAGGGGGAGTTGGGACTTGGTTGCAAGAGATGAATCGGGGACAGGAAACTTTTCAGAAGCTTCTCAGGAGAATTCAAGAGGAGAAGGAGGAATGGTCTGTTCTCAGCTATAAGCCTAAACCTAGCCAGGATATTCCCTTTTAGGCCTAAGGAAGCCCTCAGGGTATTCTAGGCTGAGAAGGTATGTCATTCTAGAAAGAGACTTGTTTTCTTTCTTTCTTTTTTTAATTAAAAAGCTTTTTTACCCCCTTTCCATCCCCTCCTTTCACTAAAGAAAAACAGCTCTTGTAATAAATAGACATAGTCAAGAAAAAGAAATTTTCACATTAGTCATGTTCAAAAATGAGTATTCTGCATATTTAATCCATTTCCTTTCAGTCAAGAAGTGGGTATCATCAGTCCTCTGAAGTCATGGTTGGCCGTTGTATTTATCAGAGTTCTTAAGTCTTTCAAAACTGTTCCATTTTATTTTTATTGTATACAGTATGTATATAGTATATACATCATATATAGCATGTTCTCCTAGTTCAGCTCACTTCACTTTACATTAGCTCTTATACAAGTTTCTCTGAAATGACTTTCTTCTCTTTCTTCATGTTTATGTTATATATTATATTATATATTTATATTATATATCATAATAATATTACTTTATAGCATAATAATATTACTTTATATTCACATACCATAATTTGTTAAGCCATTCCCCAGTCAATGGTCACCCCCTTAGTCTTCACCACAAAAAGAGCTCCCATGAATATATTTGTACATATAGGACCTTTTTCTTCTTTATTTGCTCTCTTTAGGGTATAGATCTAATAGATGTATAATTTGAAGGACATGAAGAAGAGTTTAATAGTTCCCAATTGCTTTCCAGAATGGTTGAACTAATTCATATTTTCTCCCTCCAAGTTTCTTTCTCAGTTTTGCCAAAAGCTCACCTTGGTAAAAGCCCTTCAACCCTTTCCCCCTCCCTCAGATTTGTTGACACTGGAAACCCTTTGATCAGGGGGCTCTCCATAATGTCCGTTCAGCTGTTTGTGGCAGGGCCCAGGACTGAGCTCGCTTGTTTCCTCCTGGCCAGAACCTGCCCTTGCAGACACTGATCCGATTCATGGTGGACATTGCCAGTGGCATGGAGTACCTGAGTTCCCAGAATTTCATCCACAGGGACTTGGCTGCTCGGAATTGCATGTGAGTGAGCTGCCAGTGGACCCGAGGGAGTGGGAGTGGAAATCATAGAGAAAAAGCAGGAGAGAGCTGTCCAGTAGCCCTTTGATTAAGAAATGAATTGCTGTTCAAACTAAAAGGAAGATGGCAGGGGCTGGGATAACTGCCATCAGTCCCAGCCTGGCTATTGTGTCCGCAGTTGTGCCCATTTCAGGTCAACAAGAGCCTGGTGCCTAAAAGCCAGCTCAGAGAGTCTCTAGGGAGGAAAGGGGCAGGGTCAGCCCACTGATTTCATGTACTTCACTCTCTTTACAGGCTAGCTGAGGACATGACTGTGTGTGTGGCTGACTTTGGGCTATCTCGGAAGATATACAGTGGTGATTATTACCGGCAGGGCTGTGCCTCCAAATTGCCCGTCAAATGGCTAGCCCTGGAAAGCTTGGCTGATAACCTGTACACAGTGCATAGTGATGCGGTGAGTAGAAGGAGTTGGGTGGTTTGGATCAGGGGGACTGCAGAGTAGAATTAAGGCAAGGCCAGGACTACTTACCCTTACAGTCCCTTAGAATTGGGACTGGTCGCCCTCACAGGAATTATCCTGTCCATTGGTGGCCCTGTCCTTAGGTAGCAGGATTTATCTGCCTCTGGACCTGGCTTTGACAACTTTTTTGACCTTGGTTTTGTCCTAGTGGGCATTTGGTGTGACCATGTGGGAGATAATGACTCGGGGACAAACACCTTATGCCGGTATTGAAAATGCTGAGATTTACAACTACCTCATCAGTGGGAACCGTCTGAAGCAGCCACCTGAATGTCTCGAGGAAGTGTGAGTGCTCTCCAGAAAGTTAGATAGGAACTGCAGGGGGAGGGAAGACCCTTGGAGGGCAGGAGAGCCAGGCTAGGCTTTTGGGTGGATTGGTGATTGTGTATAATTAGGGCTACTGACAGAGATCCCTGGCTACCCTTTCCCTGAGTGATGACTTCTGCTGAGGGATGGGGACTTCAGGGGCCATCTAGTGCAACCTCTTCATTTTACAGTTGGAGAAACTAAGGCCCAGGGAGATTGTGACTTGCCCAAGGTAACACAGGTCCTCTGATTCAAATCCAGCATTCCTACCATTTCTCCAAAGAGCCTGAGTTGGATTTCTGTCCTTCAGTGTCTCTCTACTCTTCTTACTCTCTTTCTGTCTCTTTCTCTCCTCCTCTCCCTCTGGAAATGATTTTCTGATTTCTTAACAATTTTGTGAAGTCTCTGATTCTGTATCTCTGTGTCTCTCTCCTCTCCTTTTCCCTCTGGAAATGATTTTTTAATTCTTTAACAATTTCATGAAGTCTGTCTCATCTCTGCCTCTCTCTCTCTCTCTCTCTCTCTCTCTCTCTCTCTCTCTCTCTCTCTCTCTCTCTCTCTCTCTCTCTCTCTCTCTCTCCTCTCCCTCTAGAAATAATTTTCTCATTTTTTAACAGTTTAATGAAAAAAATCACGTTCTTCCTGTCTAGTGCCTTCCTGTTTCCTCTGTCTCTCCTGTTCCACCATTTTCTCACTTTACCCCCTCCTTATTATACCTTCTCCAGCTTTCCCAGGAATAAACAAGAAATCTATCCCCTCCTAATCCCAGAGGCAGAAACCAGAGAGATTCTATAAGGAACAGCCGTGGTTTCTCCCTCCTCCCCCAGGGCCAGGCTAGTTAGAGCTGTTACTGCTGGTATTTAGAAAGAAAGGGGAAAAAAACAAAGACACCTCCCCTAGATTAAGAGTTCTTTCCTACTCAGAATGAGTGGGTGGGGGAAGAGAAACGATGAAATGCCTATAGGAGTCTTTTTACCACTCAAAAGACTGGAGCTACAGCTGCCAGTGGGGGTCTCTGCTTCCCTCCCTATACCATTCTGCCATAATCCTTGTCTTTCCAAAGAGGGGGCTGATTGTTGGGGGAAGAATGGTTTCTTCAGAACCCCCACTGATTGCTGGTGAAGGGTCCTAGAGGCTGGAAGAGGCTTGAGATTGGAAAACGGGAGTCCTAGAGAGAAATGACCAGCCTCCTTTCATTCTGGAAGGACTTCAGCATCCAGAATGGGGAGTGGTGGGGGAAGCAGGGAGGCTGTGCAGTCTAAGGCTCTTCCTTTGGTAGGGCTGAGTTGGCAGATTCCTCCTTGTGTTAGTAAGCAGAGTATATACGATGTGGGGGAGAGGAAGAAGAGGCTGTACTGATGTAAAATCAGTGTCACTCTGAAGCTCTTTCTGTAGTGACTGGAATCCTCCACCCTTACCAGAGCCAGGCTTTTTCTGGGTTTGCATGGAAGCTGGAGCTGTTCCTGGCATGAGAGAGAAGGAAGGCAGGATGAAGTCCACAGTGGTTTTAGGGAAGCGACAAATTCCTTCCACAGGTGAATAGTTTTAGTAGTTCCACCTTCATCTGTGACAGAAACAATTCAAGTGTATGCCAGCTTTCTGCCAACTGAACCATTCTGGTTTTAGGCCTAGGAAACAGAGCTCAGCAGGGGAAGGATGGGCAGAAAATGAAGACTCACCTGAGGCTCATTTGGAGTGACCACGGAGAAGGATTAGAGGGAGTGGAGAAGAGAAAACCCTCATTTTGAGATTCCATCTTTTTTTTTTTTAATTGCTTTTTGGTGAGGCAATCAGAGTTAAGTGACTTGTCAAGGTCACACAGCTAGTAAGTGTCAGTTGTCTGAGACTGGATTTGAACTCAGGTCCTTCTGACTCCAAGGCCAGAGCTCTAGTCACTGTGCCACCTAGCTTCCCTTGAGATTCCATCTTAACAGACACAGAGAGTAAACGTGACACTTTCTGGAGATAGGAGGATCCTGGGTTCAAATCTTAGATCTGGCATTCACTAGCTGCTTTCTAAGCCTCCGTAAACATTTATTAAGCACCCACTGTGTGCCAGGCACCGAGCTAAGCACTGGGGATACTGAAAGAAGCAAAGGACAAGAAGCTCACAGTCTAATGGGGGAAGACAAGCAAACAAATATGTATGAGCAAGCTTTATTCAGGATGAATAGGTTGTAATTAACAGAAGGAAGGCACTTGAATTAAGAGGGGTTAGGGAAGGCTTCCTGTAGGAGGCAGAAATTTATTTGGGACTTAAAGGAAGCCAGGGAGGTCACCAATTGGAGCAGAGCTGGGAGAGCATTCCGGACATGGGGGACAGGTAGAGAAAATGCCTGGAGCTGAGAGATGATGTGTCTTGTTTGTGGAACAACCAGAGGGCCATGTATGTAAAGTGTATTGCAAACCTTAAAGGATGGGGGAGTGGGTCTGTGATTTCACTGGTATAGGGAACCCCTCAGGTTAGAAAATTCCCTTTACCAATTCAGATTGGCAACTTCCCTGAAATTTACAGACTTAGGGAGTTGCCTAGAGCACTGATATATTAAGTGACTTGCCCAGAGCCACACAACCAGAATGTGTCAGAGGTAGCTGGGATTTGAACTCAGGTTTTCCTGACTCCAAGGCTTACTTCTTTACTCACTATCCCATGCTGCAAACCTTAAAATGTTACATAAATATCAACTTATTATTATATAGGCCTCCACAGTTGAAGAAGAACCAAAGACTTCTTCAACTATTAATAGGCTTTTGGTCCCTGGCTCAGCTTCTTCCTGATCAGTGGTTGGTGCTACCAGGGGAGGGATGAAGGGAGCTGGCTTTCAGCCAATGCATCACAGTGGACGGATGCCAGTTGGCTTAGTCAACCTTGAGACTGTGTTCTGGCCAAAGCCCTGTGCTTATGGATTTAGGCCTTTCCCACGACCTGCTGTGGGGTGGACATGATGAACTTTCCTCTCCGCCTGTTCACTTTGCGGGGCTCTAGGAGTAGTCGTGGGTGAAGGGGCTTGGCACAGTGGTATGTAGGTATAATAATTCCCAGGTTCTAGGAATTTTTGTCATGGGGATAGGCAAGAATGTCAGCGAGTTGACTCTGAGCATCCCAGGCTTCATTCTCTTTCTTGGGGTAGGACTTTTCCAGCCCCTGGGGGGTTTTATTTTAGACTATAATTGGACACCACCTTTTGGGCTGCTAGCCTAGCATGTTGAAATGGTAGACACTTAACACTAGGCATACCTGTTGAATTGAATTGCAGGACAGACCTTAGTAGATAAGGTTTGAGGTCAGGCCCTCTCCAGGAATTCTGAGGACCACAGCCTTGATATTGCCTCTGCTTGGAAGGGAGGATAGAGATCCTTCTTTTTTTTACCCTCCTTCTTCAGCAGCCTCTCTTATCTTTTTTTCACAGATATGAGCTCATGTACCACTGCTGGTGCTCAGATCCCAAGCAGCGCCCTAGTTTCACAACACTTCGGATGGAGCTAGAGGAGATCCTGGGCCGAATGTCTGTTCTCTCTGCCAGTCGGGATCCTCTCTACATCAACATCGAGAGGGCTGAGGAGCAAGCAGAAGGGGGTGGCCAGCTGGGTGGGGACCAGACTATCAGTGGGGATGGAGATAGGAACGGTAATGATACAGGACCAGTAGGTGGTGTTCCCAGTGACTATCGGTATATCCTTAGCCCTGGAGGGCAAGCTGAGCAGTCTGGAGAAGAGCAGCAGTCAGAGGGGGCCTGTGGGGAGGCCCAGAGGCGGATGCTACTCTAGCAGGAGCTGTTGGCACATAGAGGCTGTTAGCCTAACAAATGGATTGGCATCCTTTGGGGGGGTAAGGGGAAGTGTCTGGCTGGCTTGGCTGGCTAGGCTGGCCAGCAAAGCCCCATCCCCCCTTGATCTTAGCCCAGTCAGAAGTGTGGGGGCTCCTGTGGTAGTCCCTCCCAAACTGTGTTGGGGACTGGGCTTTGGAAGCCTGATATGACCAAATCACCCAATCCCAGTTCTTCCTCCAATCACTCTGGGTTCAGCCAGCCTGGCACAGGCTCGTGACTATTTCATTCGGGTGGGGGGAGGGGGGGAGGTAAGGCAGGCCTAGTTGTCTGGACACTGGCAGCTGGTACTCTGTGGTTACATTCCCATGGTTACGATGGGTGGGGGCCAGGAAGGAGAGGAGATAAGTGGCACTATTCACCCCTTCCCTCCCCAGTGGGCTAACCCTGCTGCTTTAGTGCATGTGCTGAGCCACCCCCTACCTGGGGAGGCAGCTCTGCCCACACCACTGGTTTTTAATTCTCTAGGCCTGGCTTCTTCAAGGTACATAGAGATGGATTTACATTACACTCATGCAGGTATGAGTTGGTAGAGAGGTTGGTAGGGCCAACCCCTCTCACCCTATAGGTGGGATTGAATGTCGGTATACTCAGGTCTGAATAACCCTTTGTCAGCAGGACCGTGGGGCTACCCTGCCAATGGCCCATCCCTGTTGGGTGCTGCACACTCCCTAGGTCACACCTATGCAGAAAGCTAGAGTACATCAGGCTGCCAGGTGCCCTTCCCTTGAAAAGAAGGGGAGCGATGGGGCCTGAGGAAGGATTGGTGGGACCAGATGTGTCTGGTCCTATAAGGGATGGCATCCTCTTTCCACTAGTGAGGGAAGCACCCTCCACTGTCTGTTTGGAGCATGCTACAAGAATCCTAATCCCACTAACAAAGGCAGCTGTGTCTAAGCCCAGAGGGTTTTCTGGTCCCCTTCTTCCTTCCCTGCTGAGTCCCTCTATCCTGACTTTGCCTTTAACAGAAGCTTTCTCTTTTTGCCGGCTCCTATTCAGAGCTACTGAAGTGGGAGGAATTGAGGCCATGGGGCTGGTTTTGAGGGAAGGGGTTAGTATTGATTGCTACCATTTCCATGGCAGAGACAGCTGTGGGGGAAATGGGGGTGACAGTAGTCTGCCTTGGGGAGGGTGTTTCCAGGCTGTTAGATGCCATTTAAACACAGAAATAAAAACAAACCTCAGAATAGCCATTTGGAAATAGTCATTTCTTCTTTAGCTTTCAATCAGGCACTCTCCTTTGTTGGTTTGGAGGGGGGTAGGGAGAAAAGTTAGAGGGCTGTGATACTGATTTCTCGCCTTTCCTCCCCAAGGCTGCAGAGAATTGTCTTGGGCATGTGGAATGGAGCATGTAAGTATATAGGGAGACTTAACTGGTTGTTAAAAGCCTGTGCTTTCCTACCCAGTCTCTCTGCCTTTAAAAGTAGCTCAGGAGAAACAAAAGGGATTGTGTGTAGGGCAGGGAGTTCACTTGGGAAATAGGTTGTAGCTGATGCCATCAAAGAAGTAGAATGGGGGTGGGGTGAAGAAGCAGCCCTCTTCAAAAAATTTCAGGAAAAACCTGTTGCTGCCAGAACTGGTTCTGGCTCCCACGTGGTAAGGAGATGGAGAGAAAGACACTAACTTTAATCAAGGAAACTAGAATCAAGAAAACTTGCTGGCTAGGGCAAGCCTTACCTGTAGGTGACTGATTAATTCAGTTCAGTAAACATTAAGAAACTAAGGCATGTAAAACCCTGTGCTAGGTGCTAGGAGACACAAAGTTGAGATAAACATAGGCTTCAGCTTCGTGGAATTTAGATTCTGGTAGGGTTTGCTATCTCCCATAATGTGACTCGGTGAGTGCATGGGAGACCCTAGCCCCCAAACACCTCCACTTTGAGGATCCCATGTGGTCTGGATTTCTACCATTAAAAATTCCTCCTGTGTGTTAAGGACATTGTGTCTCCCCAATTTAAATGCATCCCAGAAGAGGCGGCAATGTAGAAAACCTAATGCCTTAGCTTATCGGATCAATTTTCTTCAGGATAGTTAGCAGATGGAAGAGCTTGGGGGCAAAAAGTATTTATTAAGTGATTACTAGGTGCAAAGCACTGTACTAAAACCCATTGTAGAGAGGAAACTAGGACAGAGGAAGGGAAGGAACATGCCGTGGCCACTCAAATAAGTGAGTAGTAGAGGTCAGACTCCAATGTAGTTGAGTTTTGACTGGAAGCAAGGAAGGGGTAAGCAGCATAGACCAGGTTGCACTATTCAGAAGGGATAAGTCTAGCTGTCCACGGAGCAACCTGAGTTTCACATGATGGTATTGATTAAGTGGTGGAGTTGAGGCATTGAGAAGGGGACAGGGCAACAGTCTTTGCCCATTTGATAGGTTTGACAATCCTATCTGTTGCATTCATGTCCTAGGCCAGACCCTGGCAGACAATCTAGTCAAAAAATTTTCAAGCCCAGAATCTAGGGAGGGCAGAAAAGTTTTATAGATTTATGTAAACATCTCCTTGACTATAACGGGAGGTTTCTGGTCTGGGAATAACCTTTCACTTGACAGACTCAGGAGCAAACTTGGACTCTAGCCAAATGCTAAAGAGGTAGGAAAGCTCTTGGCTTCCTAGAAAAGAAGTGTGTTATCAATTTGTCTTTCCTTAAAACAGACTTTTATTTTCAACTCAACAAATCTTTATTGAGGTGTGCCCTTGAGTTTTGACAACTTATTGCCTGGCTCCTTCTTAAGTAGGCTTTCAAAAACCTATAGTTCTCACTATGTGTAAGAAAGGCATTTTGGTGGAGGCTAGGCATACAGAGACATAAAACAATCCCTAGGGGCAAGCGAGGTTGTTCAGTGGATAGAGCACTGGCCCTGGAGTCAGGAGCACCTGAGTTCAAATCTGGCCTCAGACACATAACACTTCCTAGCTGTGTAACTCTGGGCAAGTCACTTAACCCCAATCACCTCACCAAAATCAAAACAAAATAAAGAATACAAGAGGGAGAAGAACTGTGAGCTGGGGGTAGGGGGAAAGTATTGTGGGAGGGGAATTGGGTATCTGACATAGGAGGTAGCCTCTGAAGTAAGCTTCAAAGGAAACTTAGGTATTCTATTAGGGAAAGGTCAGGAGGGAGTGTATTTCAGATAATGGGGAGCTGTTTGTGCGAAGGCAGAGTTCAGAGATGGAATTGACATTCTGGGAATAGCTAGCAGGCCAGTTTGACTGGATGGAAAATGTAAGCAGGGAAATAAGTGAAATTAAAACTGGAAAGGGAGACGAGCGTCAATGCCAGGCTGAAGATTCTGTATTTGATCCTAGAGGTAACGGGGCGCCATTGAAGAACTTTGAACAGTGAGCTGATGTGCTCGGAGCTGTGCTTCAGATCATCTGTTTGGCAGATTTGCAGAGGATGGGTTGGAGAGGGAAGAAGCTAGGCAGAGAAACCAATTGGAAAGCTGTTACAGTTGTTTAGGTGAAGTGATAAGAACATGATGGGGTAGAATAGGGATCTTTAACCTCTTTTGGCAGTCTGGTAAAACCTATAGGCCCCTTCTCAGAATAACATTTTTTGTTGTTGTTGGTTAGGCAGTGGGGTTAAGTGACTTGACCAGGGTGACACAGCTAGTAAGTGTTATGTGTCTGAGGTCAAATTTGAACTCAGGTCTTCCTGAATCCAGGGCTGGTGCTCTATCCACTGCGCCACCTAGCTGCCCCTCAGAATAACATTTTTAAATGCATAAAATCAACTACACAGGTTTACAAAGGGGAAACCAAGGGTTAGTGAAAATAAAGATGTATTTTTTCCTTTCCAAGTTCATGGACCTCAAGGGGTTCGTGGACCATATGCTTCCCCCTGCCCAAATCTGGGGTAGATGCTTTTTGAGTAGAAAAAAGGGAACAGGTGGGAGATTTATGAGAATTAGGAGAACTATTCTGTATCAAAGGATTTATCTTTGTTTTCGATTTTTTAACATTTTTGAAAAATTTGAGTTTCAGTTTTCTTCCTCCCTCCAGTCCATCCTCTCCTTATTGAGAAGGCAGGCAAGACAGAGGATTAGTTTTAATAGTTGTTATCCAGCCCCTTCCTAAGCAAGTTCTCAAAAACTCCTTCCCTCCTCCTTCAATTCCAGAGGGAGATGCCTTTAAATGATTTCTCTGTTGTATTCCTAGACCTCCTAAAGAATCCAGACTCAAAATGCAGGGGTCACATGCTAATACACTACACAGAGGGAGGCTAGGCCGGGGCTACTCTGTGCAGAGCAGAGACAGGAGCAGCTTGTCCCCAGCCCTGTTTAGGCTGGCTGTATCCCAAGCCTGTCCCTGGTAACTCTGCTAAGTGCTGTGCCCACTCAGAGGGCGATGCTGTTACCCAGGCACTCTTCAGCTTTTGGAGAACATCTGCCCCATCCTCAAAGTTATCTGGCAATGTGTGCTTTTCCAATGAGCCCGTGAAGCCAGGAACAGAGCACCCTCCAAGTCAATTTTGTGAATTCTCCCTGTTGCCCCCTACGTGGAAAACATTCCAGGTTCACCAAATGCCCTTCTTCCTTCCTTCAAAGTCCCTTGGAAGTTTGTTTCCTGCGTGTTCCCCACCTTTAGATGGACACAAGGGCAGAAATAGACATGCAGTTTTGGACATGGCCACTGTATGGATTTGTTTTGCTTGACTTACACTTATTTGTTACAAGGGTTTTCTTTCTCTTGGGTTTTTAGTTGGGGGGGGAGGAAAAGGGGAAGGGAAGTTAACAATAAATAATGCCAAAAAGAGGGCCATGGACACATTTTTTTTTAATGTACTAAAGGGAACAGAAGAAAGTTCAGAAGAAAGCACTGACAAACAAGACGGTTTGAAAATAATGTGTAGAATTTATTATATATGTTAAAAAAAAAGCAAGTTGTGTGAAATGGAGACTCATGGTTTCATATAGAATTCTCTTTATGTGTTTTGCTGTGTTTATGGGACCGATCTGATTTTCTTTTTTGTTTTAAATTCATAATAAAAATTTATTTTAAAAATTTGCTTCTTTTAAGAATTAAATTTAGCTCCCTAAGAATAGAACTAGCAATGGGGAGTAGGAGAAAAGGATGTGATCTAATTTGAGTTGGGGGGAGGCATCCTACTTTACAAGTTTCCCTGATATGCTGGGCGACTCAGCTTTCCCCCTTTGTAAAGAAAAATGTAGTTACTTCCCTTTTTCCATTGTCACCTTGCAGTCACGAGTTGTATCCCACTAAGGGTCTAGGGTTACCTCTGAGATCATATTTCTCTTGTATAACAGTATTTTCCTCTCTACCCAACTTTAATCCTAGTCTCTGTGCATTGGCATATAGACATCTGAGGCCAAATATCATTTCTGCCATACTTTTTAGTTGTTTTCTCCTGAAAACACCTACCTGTGTCAGACCTGTTCCTTTTTTTGGTATGGCAGTTGTATCTAGATAGTTTTCTTCCTCCCTTCTTGACAGCCCTCTAGAGCAAATCAGTAAATCTAAGGCAAATACGTTCTTTTTGTTCAGATATATTCTGTTTTCCTTACTAAAACATCATTCTTGCTGTATCTTACATCATTCTTTGGCACCATCTTCTTGGCCAGCTCATCACTTCTCATGCCCTCCTTCGTCTTCTCAGGTATCAATAATGAAAATAACACTTCTGCCCTTAGGTCCTTTAATTTCCTGCCCAGTTCTCTACAACCTCTAGAGATGGTTTCCAGGTTCTTTTGGATATCATTCATTCCCAATTGTATCAACAGAAATGGGTAGTTATCAGCTTTGACATTAGAAGATTCTCTGTGTAACATCTTGTTACTATAACTAGGTCATTTTTAAGCCTAGGAAGAAATATAATGATCCCTAAGGTTGACTTCATTCCCTTCTCTTTGTTTTTAGGGAGTTAGTTGAAAAGGTCTGAGCTCTGTCACTATCAGTTTGAGCTCCCAGTTAGGAAAAATTCCTAAAATATAGGCAGAAATTGGGCTCTCTGCCTAACCTTACATTCAGGGTATGCAGGAGCCAATCCTTACTGGCTTACAAAAGCTAGTTAAAATTTCAGTATGATCGTTTCATCTCAGAAATCCACAAATGCTACAAAATAGGGCTTGATTTTATTGTTTTGTTCACTGTCTAGGCATAAAATGATGGAGAAAATGTTAACAATGCAGATTAAACTTAAATGTGTCATGAAAAATTTTTTCCTAGAGTAC